AATAAAAAGGAAAGCAGTCACTGTTTGCAGATAATATGATACTATATAGAGAGAATCCTAAAGATGCTACCAGAAAACTACTAGAACTAATCAATGAATTTGGTAAAGTAGCAGGATAGAAAATTAATGCACAAAATCTCTTGCATTCCTATACACTAATGATGAAAAATCTGAAAGAGAAATAAAGGAAACACTTGCATTTACCATTGCAACAAAAACAATAAAATACCCAGGAATAAAACTACCTAAGGCGACAAAAGACCTGTATGCAGAAAACTATAGGACACTGATGAAAGAAATTAAAGATGATACAAACAGATGGAGAGATATACCATGTTCTTGGATTGGAAGAATCAACATTTTGTAAATGACTACACTACCCAAAGTAATCTATAGATTCAATGCAATCCATATCAAACTACCAATGGCATTTTTCACAGAACGAGAACAGAAAATATCACAATTTGTATGGAAACACAAAAGACCCTGAATAACCAAAGCAATCTTGAGAAAGAAAAACGGAGCTGGGAGAATCAGGCTCCTTGACTTCAGACTATACTACAAAGCAACAACAATCAAGACAGTATGGTACTGGCACAAAAACAGAAATATAGATCAATGGAACAGGATACAAAGCCCAGAGATAAACCCACACACATATGGTCACCTTATTTTTGATAAAGGAGGCAATAATATACAATGGAGAAAAGACAGCCACTTCAATAAGTGGTGCTGGGAAAACTGGACAGCTACATGTAAAGAATGAAATTAGAACACTCCCTAACACCATACACAAAAATAAACTGAAACTGGATTAACGACCTAATTGTAAGGCCAGACACTATAAAACTCTTAGAGGTAAACATAGGAAGAACACTGTATGACATAAATCACAGCAAGCTCCTTTTTGACCCACCTCCTAAATAACTGGAAATAAAAACAAACAAATGGGACCTAATGAAACTTAAAAGCTTTTGCACAGCAAAGGAAACCATAAAGAAGACGAAAAGACAACCCTCAGGATGGGAGATAATATTTGCAGATGAAAAAACTGACAAAGGATTAATCTCCAAACTATACCGGCAGCTCATGCATCTCAATGTCAATAAAACAAACAACCCAATCCAAAAATGGGCAGAAGACCTAAATAGATATTTCTCCAAAGAAGATATACAGATTGCCAACAAAAACATGAAAGAATGCTCAACATCACTGAACATTAGAGAAATGCAAATCAAAACTACCATGAGGTATCACCTCACAGCAGTCAGAATGGCCATCATCAAAAAATCTACAAACAGTAAATGTTGGAGAGGGTGTGAAGAAAAGAGAACGCTCTTGCACTGTTCGTGGGAACGTAAACTGATACAGCCACTATGGAGAACAGTATGAAGGTTCCTCAAAAAACTAAAAATAGAACTACCATACGACCCAGTAATCCCACTACTGGGCATATACCCTGAGAAAACTATAATTCAAAAAGACTCATGTACCTCAATGTTCATTGCAGCTCTATTTACAACAGCCTGGACATGGAAGCAACCTAAGTATCCATCGACAGATGAATGGATAAAGAAGATGTGGCACATATATACAATGGAATATTACTCAGCCATAAAAGGAAACAAAATTGAGTTATTTGTAGTGAGGTGCATGAACCTAGAGTCTGTCATACGAGTGAAGTAAGTCAGAAAGAGAATAAACAAATACCTTAAGCTAACACATATATATGGAATCTAAAAAAAAAAAAAAAAAGGTTATGAAGAACCTAGGGGCAGGACAGGAATAAAGATGCAGATGTAGAGAATGGACTTGAGGACACGGGGAGGGGGAAGGGTAAGCTGGGACGAAGTGAGAGAGTGGCATGGACATATATACACTACTAAATGTAAAATAGATAGCTAGTGGGAAGCAGCTGCATCGCAGAGGGAGATCAGCTCGGTGCTTTGTATCCACCTCGAGGGGTGGGATAGGAAGGGTGGGAGGGAGATGAAAGTTGAGGGGACTTGGAGATATATGTATACGTATAGCTGATTCACTTTGTTATATAGCAGAAACTAACACACCATTGTAAAGCAATTATACTTCAATAAAGATGTTTAAAAAAAAACATTAACCGCATTAACAAAATAGATGAAAATTATATAATCATCTCAATAGACGCAAAAAAGGCATTGTTTAATTTTGATTCAACATCCACTTATGATTAAAAACTCTCAACTAAGTAGGTATAGAAGGAATGTACCTCAACATCATGAAGGTCATATACACCAACCTACAGCTAACAACATACTCAATGAAAATTTGAAAGCTTTCCCTCTAAGATCAGGAACAAGACAAGGATGCCTACTCTTGCCTCTTTTATAAACATAGTATTGGAAGTCCTAGGCACAGCAGTTAAGCAAGGAAAAGAAACAAAATCATCCAAATTGGAAAGAAAGAAGTAAAACTGGAATTATTTGCAGATGACATAAGACTACACATAGCAAACCCTAAAAACTACACAAAAAAAATATTAGAACTAATAAATGAATTCAGCAAAGTTGCAGGATAGAAAATCAATGTACAGTCAACCCTCCTTATCCATGGGTTTTACATCTGTTGATTCAATCAACCATGGATCAAAAGTATTTGAGGGGCTTCCCTGGTGGTGCAGTGGTTGAGAGTCCGCCTGCCGATGCAGGGGACGCGGATTCATGCCCCGGTCTGGGAAGATCCCACATGCCGTGGAGCGGCTGGGCCCGTGAGCCATGGCCGCTGAGCCTGCGCGTCCGGAGCCTGTGCTCCGCAACGGGAGAGGCCACAACAGGGAGAGGCCCGCATACCGCAAAAAAATAAATAAATAAAAAGTATTTGAAAAAAATTCCAGAAATTTCCAAAAATCAAAACTTGAATTTGCCACATGCTGGCAGCTATTTACATAGCATTTATACTATATTCAGTATTGTAAGCAATTTAGAGATGATATAAAGTATATGGAAGGATGTTCATGGGTTATACGCAAATACTATGCCATTTCCTAAAAGGGACTTGAGCATCCATGGATTTTGGTATCTGTGCAGGGGTCCTGGCAGCAACTCCCTTTGGATACCTAGAATGACTGTACAGAAATCTGTGCATTTCTATAAATTATAATGAAATATCAAAAAGAGAAATTAAGAAAACAACCCCATTTACAATTGCATCAGAAAGAGTAAAATACCTAGAAGTAAATTTAGCCAAGGAGGTGAAAGACCTGTACACTGAAAGCTCTAAGACATTGATAAAAGGTATTGAATATGACACAAAGAAATGGAAAGCTATTCTGTACTCATGGAGTGGAAGAATTAATATTGTTTAAATGTCCATACTACCCAAAGTGATCTACAGATTCAATTCAATCTCTATCAAAATTCCAATGACATTTTTCACAGTACTAAAACAACCAATTTACACATTTCTATGGAAATACAAAAGACTCTGAATAGCCGAGCATCTTGAGAAAGAAGAACAAACCTGGAGGAATCATGCTCCTTGGTTTCAAACTATACTACAAAGCTATAGTAACCAAAATAGCATGGTATTGGCATTAAAAAAGATACACAGATCAATGAAACAGAATATAGAGCCCAGAAATAAATGCACACATATATGGTCAATTAATTAATGACAAAGGAGCCATGAATATACAATGGGTAAAAGACAATCTCTTCAATAAACTGTGTTCAGGAAACAGGACACACATGAAAAATGAAAGTAGACCACTCTCTTACACAATACATAAAACTTAATCCAAAATGGATTAAAGACTTGAATGTAAGACCTGAAACCTTAAGACTCCTAGCAGAAAACATAGGTGGTAAGTCCCTTGACCTAGGCCTTGGTGATGATTTTTTGAATCTGACACCAAAAGCAAAGGCAACAAAAGCAAAAATAAAAAAGTGGGACTATTTCAAACTAAAAAGCTTCTGCACAGGAAAGGATACCATCAATAAAATGAAAAGGCAACCTAAAATGGGAAAAATATTTGCAAATCATATAGCTGATAAGGAGTTAATACCCCAAATATTAAAGAACTCATTCAACTAAACAAAAAAAAAAAAAAAAAAAAAAATTGGAATAAAAATGGTCATAGGATCCAGAAAGACATTTTTCCAAAGAAGACATACAGATGTCCAACTGGTACATGAAAATGTTCTCAACATTACTAATTATTAGGAAAATGCAAATCAAAATCACAATGAGATATCACCTCCCACCTGTTAGAATGGCCATTATTAAAAAGAAAAGAAATAAAAAATGTTGAAGAGGTTTCAGAGAAAAGGAAATCCTCTTACACTATTGGTGAGAATGTAAGTTGGTGCAACCACTATGGAAAACAGTATGGTGGTTCCTCAAAAAATTAAAAATAAAACTACCATATAATCCAACTATTCTACTTCTGGGTATTTATCCCCTAAAAATCCCCCCAAACTCTAATTCAAAAAGATACACACACACCCCTATGTTCATTGCAGTAGTGTTTACAATAGCTAAGATATGGAAACAACCTAAGTGTTTATTGATGGATATATGAATAAAGAAGATGTGGTATGTATGTATATATACACACCCACAATGAAATGTGTTATTCAGCCATAAAAAGAAGGAAATCTTGACATTTGTGACAACATGGTTGGACCTAGAGGGCATTATGTTAAATAAAATAAGTCAGACAGAGAAAGACAAATACCATATGATTTCACTTATATGTAGAACATAAAAAAAACAAAACAAAACTCATTGATTGCTGGTTATCAGAGGAAAAGGAAGAGAATGGGGTAAAATGGGTAAAGGGGATGGATTGTATGGTAACTAGACTTATGGTGGTGATCACTTTCTCATGTATACAAAGATCAAATTATTACGTTGTACACCTGAAACTAATATAATGTTATTTTTACCAGTTTTACCTCAAAACTTATAATACAATTTAAACTAATCAAAAGAATATTGTAGAAAATCAGACAAAGATACCTTACCATTCATTTCCTTGTGAAGGGTTTTCTAGTAGCACTCGGATTATGTACAAAAAGCAGCTTAATAATTTGAGAGAAAAATTGAACAGACGTATTCTTAGACCTTTAAACAAACAACAAAAATTGGATTTTCATTTGAACTCAGTCCACAAAAGCTTAAAAAGAATTGTCAAAAATATCAGCTTTAAGTACAGCACTCAAATTGTGTTTAGAATCTACAATACCATAATTGCTTACCCACTCTGAAGTTCTAGGTGGCTAAATATTGAAACAAAAAATGAGAATGACAGAATGTATGAACCGCAAATGACAGTGAATATTATACACTAAGAGTAAATCTACATTTGAGCATTCAGAAGCCACAAAAATCATGTCCGATCAAGATTGGTTCAAGTATGCTTAGAAGTTTAAGCATTTTATAGATCCATGAATTTTGGAATAAATTTTAACTAGCCAGAAAATCTAGCTGCTTACAAATTCACAGGATAAGTTATAAATCTTGTATCTTCTGAGCACCTTGTAGGTTTGATTGTAGAGAAATTATAATCATGTAAATAATTATGTATTATACATTTAATTAGTAATTATATAATTATAGAGAAATCCTAATAGCATATGTTGGGAAATACACAAGCACACACACACACATGGAGAAACACACACACACACGCAGACACATTTTTGAGACTCCACCAACTTTTTACTTTAGGTTTAAATACCAATGAAATCTTAAAAAAAAAATTTGTGGGAATTAAGACTGCCATGTATGTATCTTTGAAACTGTGTCGTTCACAGTTATGCAGCCTATAATACTTGATGATGAAGAAGAGTAATTAATATTAAGCAAAACGTGTTTAAAGTCTAATTAATAGAAGCACTACCTTTCCTGCAATTATCAGGTGGTAACTGATTCACAGATTGTGAATAAAATTTTGAGGTCTTCCTATAATTAATTCTCAATAAAATCTGGAAATGAAATGCCATTTTGTTTTTACTCTGCTATAAGTGAGTGTACCTGAGGTAATATATCTTAACAGTAAAAGGTTAATGCTTATTAATTGTGCAATTTTTCCTGGGTTTTCCTACTAAAATGCTAGGTACTTATGGTTTAGCTTCTTTATAAAGTCTTCTAAACTGTTAATGAAATTGCCCTGGTTTTATAGAACGGATCTCTTCAAATGACAGCTTAGTCAAAGCTGGCTGTTGTTAAAGTATTCAAATAATACATCTATTCCTTCTGGCCTGGAGAAAGAAAGTTTTTAGTAAAATTTTTAAAATAAAGGAAACCTTCTATGCAAATGATGTGGCCTCTCCAGGTAACATCTATTGGTGGGATTCCACCTTGGGAATTCAAAACAACTGGATTAGAGAAGCATTAGTTATTATTAGCCTAATCCTAAAACTAACCAGCCATTAAGATTCTCTAACCTGTGTGCCTTACAGACTGAAATATTCCCTGTAGTCAGTATTTGGGTAACTGCTCACAACTCAAGTTTCTCTCTATGAACTCTAAAGAAGCACAACTTACTTTAGACCACCCCAGGAGGTCAAAATTCAAAAAGAGCAAAGTCTACACCAGTCTAATGTAGACCTCTCAACGCTTCTTGACATCTTAAGCAACAATCACATGAAAAAACTGCATATTGGTTCATTATTTACGGCTTTTTCAAAGTACATGGTACTAGGGGGAGGCAAGTATGACTGGCACTTCAAGCCTGAACAGGCTTAGGAGGTCAGTGACTATGCTGATTTCATGCCTCCTTGAAGTTCCAATGTTTCCCAAGGTTTTTTGATGATAAGGATCACTGAGATATTATATGCTGAGCTTAGCTCTATACTTTCTGATTTTAAATCTCCAGGGGAGGATGCTAGTAATCTGTACCTTTCGGAACAGCCTACATGTTTCTTGTTATTAGGTGTGATGGGGAAACTCTTCCCTACTAAATCACTAAACCAGAAAATTATTCCCCATTATGGTCACTTGGAATCACCAGAGTCTTCTCAAAACAAGTTTTGGTATCCCTCACAGTTAAAATATGGGGAACCCTCACTTAAATGATTTTCCTCAATGTTCCTAGCAATCCAAATGGTCCACTCAGAAGTCTACTTACTGATGTGGGATTTCAAGAAGTAAAATAGTCAAGAAACCTTGACTTGACACCACCAGATGTAACATCTATTGTTTTCTAAACTTTAATGCCCAGCAGATAAGACTATCAATTTTACTTCTCTCTATAAAAGATATTTTGCAAAAGGATTGCAAAGCTGGAATTTTTTAAGGTAAACATATATACAAATATATAAACAGGGGAATAAAATTAAAGACTTACTTGATCTCTGGTTTTTGATAAAAAATAACTTTAGTCTCTCTTTAAATGTGTTTTCATTCATATAAAATTCAACTTGCACCCTGCAAACAAAAAATAAAAACATAATTAATCTAAAGACTAATATATAAGAAAATAAAAATAAATTATTTGATGTGATACATTGTATACTTTGAGTGAATCCCCACCACAGAAAAGGAGAATTGAGTAAAATGCTAATTTTTTATTTTTGAGAGAAGCAGTTACTTTCCAATTTTAAAGATATAGTCAGTTCAAATATCATATGTAGTTGATTTGATTATTTGTATCAGTGGATATGATGAGTGGTATGGGTGATTCCAAACAGCAATAATGCAAAAGTCTTTCATATGTGTTTTTGGAATAATTTTTCATGAGCGTTTTCCTAATTCTTTTCCCTGTCATCAGAATCAACTGCATGCTTAAGAAATTCAGGTTGAACTAATCACTCCAGATCTACTGTATCTGAAACTTAAGGGACTGGGCCTGAAAATCTATTTCTAGCAAGTCTTCACTTTATCTTGAGACTATTTGAGACTATTTGGGACACCACGTATGGAACACTTTACCTTTTTATTTATCTAGCTCATATTAAAATATATATGGATCAACAAAGGAGTGGTAGTGCAAGTGGCATGTTAAAGTCACCATAGAGAAGTTACAAACCAGACAAATCAGTTAAGGGACTGAATATTCTACATTTAATCTACTATAAACTGATACCAACACTCTAAAACATAATAGCGTTCTAATAAATGCATTTGCTTTCTCCCTAAATTCTAGCAAACTTCTCTTATGTGATAGGGCTTAAATAATATTTTCAAAATACTGAGTGAAAAGAAACATTGTGTTCAGTGCATGGTAACTTGTGAATAATCATCATCTGAAATTTTCTTAGTTAAATAGTCTCAAACATATTTATTATAGGCTAGGATTCTAAAAAAATTAAGAAAATATTTTAATGCTTACACAAACAACAAAGACATAATTTCATTTTTCCTTATGTGACAGAATTTTGATAAGGTAATCTATATAAATGAGATAGTTTTTTGTTTGTTTTTTGTTTTGCAGGAGTACACAAAAGAGATAAAACTGGAGAAAAAATAATTGACATGTACTACAGAAATATTTCACTCCTAAATTCTAAGCTGCATGTTCAAGAAGATCTATGAATGTTTTAAAAGCAATATCTCTTAGGCCATAAAAACAAAAGGGCTTTTGTTATCAATTGCAAAACAAGTTTTATCTGTTACACCTTCCAGAAGACTTGAATTGCTCTTTTTCTCTTATTCCTAAAGAAAATATCCTCACCCATAAACATTTTTTCTCTTCTTTGCATCATTTTGTCATTTACTGTCCTCTTTTTTACTTTATATGTAAAATCACAAAAATCAACACATAAATCATGATTCTCTTTACTTGTTAATTTCTTTAGCAAGAAGCCATGAAAAAACAATATCTTCTAGCAGAACACCTCTATATGCATGCCTGTGTGCACGCACATACCACTTCACATATATGCAAACCTTCACACTCACATGCTATAAAAGTACATGTACACACATGCAGTCCCACAACTCCACTAGTATCTTGGAAAGCCATGATTGGCTCTATTTCCCTTGTTTATCAAATGAAAAGGACTTTATTTTAAATAAAGCAACTGTAACACTGATATCAATCTAAATTAGTTCATATTTGCTATGGATACAAAAGCAAATTTGAGAGGACATATGGCTAATACACAAGTAATAAAGCAAAGGCCATGTAGATTTGCTTCCTAGAATTATCCAATTTATAAAAATATGAGTCCATTCTTCAGTTAATATCAGGAGTGCAGTACTGGGTATATAATAGAGGTGCATTTTTCAACTAAAATGAGATCATCTAAAGCCTGAAGCAAAAAATGAGAGATCTGGAAAGTATTTCATTGGATGACAAGTTTAAGGAACTGGAAGTGTTTAACCTAAATATGAAGAATATGCACTAACAAAATGGCTGTCTTTAAAAACTGAAGTGACCATCACTACTAAAATGAGATGATTCATAATATGATGCTCTATTGTATAGGATTAATTATAGAAAAATATGAGATTATGAATGATATTACCCGATTTTGAAATGGCCATCATTATAAAGTGGAGAGCTCGCCAATCCATATAAATGTGCCAAAGACTAGATAAGAGCTTGCAAGTGACTGGATTTTTTTCCTGAGGTAAAAACAATTTTGCATGGTGTGAGGTCTCTCATTAAATGACTTCGAAATTCCATTTTAAGTATAATATCGTGTGAAGTAAAATTCTTTCTTTTTTTAATTAATTTATGTTATTTTATTTTATATTTTTGGCTGTGTTGGATCTTTGTTGCTGCATGCTGGCTTTCTCTACTTGAGGCGAGCAGGGGCTAATCTTCATTGTGGTGCATGGGCTTCTCATTGTGGCGGCTTCTCTTTTTGCGGAGCACGGGCTCTAGGCACGTGGGCTCAGTAGTTGTGGCACATGGGCTCAGCAGTTGTGACTTACGGTCTCTAGAGCACAGGTTCGGTAGTTGTGGTGCACGGGCTTAGTTGCCCCACTGCATGTGGGATCTTCCCGGACTAGGGCTCGAACCCTTGTCCCCTGTATTGGCAGGCGGATTCTTAACCACTGGGCCACCAGGGAAGCCCAAAACTCTTAATTAATCTAGCGATCTCTCCAAGTCAATATCACTGAGGACCATGGATGATATTAAAGCATAAATTTATACAAATGCTTTTCAAAGCTAAAATGAAAAAAAACAAACAAAAAACAAACAAAATGCTTTTTGACCCATGTCTTCTAACAGGTACAAAAAAATGTCCTTTGGGTTTACTATTTATAATATGGAGTGGATTTTTCTTTTATTTGATCCAACGGCAACTCTTTGGGAATCAACGCCACTTAGTGTACTGTACACTTTCAGGAACTCTCCAGCACCATAAAGTTCTCTAGTACTCAGAGATTTAGGACAGAGTTTACTTTTTATCTTTCCCCATTTTTTTCATGATTTTAGTTGATTTTCAACATCCTCCTAGTATTTCCCTTTCCAGATTTAAATGTGCTTTTCCTTCCTTCCTTCCTTCCTCCTTTTCTTCCCTCCTTCCTTCCTTCCTCTCTTCTGCTCTCCCTCTTTCCTTCTTCTCTTCCTTCCTTCCTTCCTCTTTTATGGCCTGCCTCCTCCCATCTAACTTTATCTGAACTTACCTCCATCCAGGAGGTCATTTTAGTGGACTCAAACTATATGGTTTTGAACAATACAACAGGGCAAATCTGCCCTCATCAATCCTTAAAATGTGATTTTTCCACATGTTTATACTCAAAATAAAATTAAGATCATTTTGTCACATTTATCCTAATATAATAGTGGAAATGGGTGTATTTAATAAAAAATAAAGTGAAGTTGCAATCCTTATTAGGCCATATCTGTTCTTACTGACATATGTTACCATTGGTTAATAACATTATTTTTATGTTGGTCAACAATGTTTTATTTGGGCAGATCCTATTATATTGTTTGCTATTCTAAAAGTGTTTTGTTCCAACCTTTAACTTTTGTTTTTGATACTGTAACTGACTACCATGTTGAACTCTCTCATAGGTAGTGATATTTTTCAGGTTTATTTTCTGAGTTTTCTAGGCAATCATGTCATCTGGAAATCTCCAATATTTGTATTCCCATTTTATTGTTCTTGTCTTATTACGTTGACTAGAACCTTTTGATGAAAAAAAAATAATCAAATAACCATGGTGTGCATTCTTAGAAGGCTTCTAGTGCTATAGCAGTAATTATATTGTTGACTATGAGATTGCAATAAATACTTATGTTTTACTAAAACTCATAACAGGAATGAATGAATGTTGATGTTAAAAAAAACCTGTCTTGAATCTATTAGTTGATGGTACATTTTTGTTTTTCTCTTGATTTATTGATTTGGTAAACTATTTTAATAGTTTTTCTATTAGGCAATTATTTTTTTCAGTTGTGGAATAAGTTGTTTTTGTAATAGTGAACTATTCATGTAATTTACTGCTGGATTCATTTTCCTATATTTTAGGAGATTTTCTTCTATGCTCATAACTAAGATTGATGTGCTATTACCTTTAGATTATTCTAATATCTTCAAATACAGACTGAAAAACTCTCCAGATATTTTATTCTCTGGAACAATTTTAAGTATATAGAGATTTTTTTGTATAACCATCATCAATTTGTCTTAACAATATCAACTGCCTTAATACTGATTTAAATGTTTTATTTTTTTCCCATTTTCCATTGCTCTGGTTACTTGAATTTAGCATAAAAATTATGCAGGATCTTGTTAAAAGGCAATTTCCTTGTTTCAGTCTTAAAATTCTTGTTTACTTTCTTTAAAATACCAAAAATAATTCTGACCCAGGTTGTCAGTGCACCATTCTTTCAGAAACACTTTTTTTTTTTTTGCTCTAATAATGCCTTGGACTCTGTTTAGGATGCCAAAGTTTTGCAGATATTCTCTTTTGGAAATTATGCTACATACAGATCATTACCAAAGGAAAATTCTTCCTCTGTGTCCACTTGGTGCTTTTCCCTTCCTGCTTTCCTCTGATGCTGTGATATTGGTCATGGAGTCCAGGTACCAGTTTTTCTATTACTACACTCATTCAAACAAGGCAATATCTACCTGGACTTTCTGGTCTAACTGTTGTTCTTCCCTTCCAATCATTCTCTGTGATGGTGACGGTAGCGCTTCTTAGTCATATGAAGTAAGTCCATTAGATTGTAAGTTCCATGAGGGTGGGGACCATATTGTTCATGTTTATGTCTTAAGTATCTCTTAAGTTACTTGAGACCTATTAGGGACCTATTCCTGTTCAATGCCTGAATGAAGGTCCCCAGTTCTTTCTTTGGTACAAACCTTAAGGACTCTGAGTCGATAGTGTAGTGGAATAGATAAAGTCATCTTCCTTTCCTTAGGTTATAACTATTTTGAGGATGCAAAACTTGGGTTTGTGGTGAGCTGAATCCTCGTAAGCTCTTATTCCAACTTGGTCTACCTTGTGATTAATGATCA